TGTCTCTCTATATACGTGAGGAGGGGCAGGGTGATGGAAATGCCACCCAGTGGACTGTGGCCTCTCCCAGCCCCCTACCAAGGGGACTGAGGGAGGTGTATGCGGCTGTTTCCCCGTCTGGGCCTCCACTTAGTGCCAGCTGACAGCTTGGAAAGTGGAAGTCAGGGAAGTAAGTAGTGCTGTCTGATAATGATACTTATTAAGCCACAGACTTGTCAGGAGATACAGATCCTGCTCAGCAAAGCATGGTGAGGAGCACGGTTCAGTGGAAGCTCAGCAGAGGCTGTGCTGCACGTCAGGTGGTGAAGGTGAGGACGCTGAGCTGAGGCAGGGGCTGGTGGACCACGGAGTGGGCTCACACTGAGGGGCTGCAAGATCTCCCTCATTTCCTGGAGGCAGGAATGGAGGCCCAGGTTGAATGATAACTGGACACCATATCTCCTAGGTTGCCAGAGGGAGTCTCCTTGAGTGACAACTCTTCAGTCAAGAAGATGGAGTGACTATAGTGACAGCCACAAGGGTGTCTGCTCCCTTAGTGCCAGACAAGGGTCCTCACAGCAGCCTCTTAGAGCACATTATCCTGTTTTCTCAATGCCCAGCAGTGAGCTACCAGCTAGTCACGGTTCACACGTGGTGTCCTGTACCAGTCCCTGTGGTGGCTGTGCCAGTGGGCAATACAGGTCTTGCAAATGAGAATCTTGTGTCACCTAAGCTTCAGAAGCTTCCTTGGGTCTGGCCATCCGGGAACAGTGGTTCTTAACCTTTTTTGGGTCACAGAACCCCTTGAGAACTTAATGTACCTGGATCTTGCCATAGGAGAATGCACACGTGCGCACACAGTTTTCAGATCACCTTCAAGGCCCACCCTCAAGGTCCAGAACCAGAGAGTGGGGTCAAGCCCGCCAGAAGAGCCAGCAGCTACTGTGTCAGAACACAGTACAAACCTTGATGTCCAAATGTGAAAGGGCAGTCACTTAACAGAGCCTCAGGCTGAAAATGGTCCTGATGCCATCGGCAGAGAGGAGCCCTACATCGTGATGTGTTCACAGTGGGGTATTATGGAGCAGTTGGAGACAGACAAATTTGGCCACAACACAGTATGCACAAGTCTCGGCAAACGTAACATTGAGCAGAAGTAGCCAATTTTGCTAGAAGCTTCTGTTTATTTAAAGTGGCACGACTAGTCTGTGGTTTGGTGTTAGAAGGACGGAGGGCCATGCCTGGTTGGAATGCAGGGGAGCTTAGGGGGCAAATAATGCTCTGTTTCTTAGTCTGGGTCCTGCTGGCTAATGGGTATGTCACTTGGGGACAGTTTATTGAACTGTACACTCAGAATTGGAGCACATTCTCCCATGTCTATGCGTTTTTACTTGAGAGTTTTGGTTTAGTTTTGTTTTTTAAGATTTTATTAGCACAAGTGGAGGGAGGTACAAAGGGAAAGGGAGAAGCAAACTTCCGGCTGAACAGGGACCCCAGGGACCTCAGTCCCAGGACCCTGGCATGACCTGAGCCAAAGGCAGATGCTTAAACCACGGAGCCACACAGGCACCCCTCAGTGAGAATTTTCTTAAAATTACACAGTTCACATGTGAGCATTTCCAGCTACTCTACAGATGTGCTCTGCATGACCACGTAAAACCCTCTCACTGTTTTTTTTGTAAGTTCTGTCTCTGTCCTCATTTGATATGAGAGGCAGTAGAGTCTCAGAGATGTGAAGCAGCTTGCCCAAGGTCATACAGCACATGCCACTGTACACCTACTCTGCCGGACTAACGCTGACCATGCAGATGGCCCCAGCATAACCAGCAGAGATCTGAGCTCCAGAGTCAGGCTCCTCCCTCTATCATGGAGTAGAAGAAGTCAAGAACTACAGCTAGCCCAGCATCTTGTATACATCTGTATCAGAATGTGTTGTAGGAGGCATTCCCAAATTGATCCTGGGGCAGAAGGCATCAGGTGGGACAAGGCTGACCAACCGCAGTGTCTTTGTCAATGCCCTTATCCCTGATGGCTTCCTAACATCTAGCGGGGCCCCAGCTCCCTGCTTGGAGGGTAACAGCATCTTTTCTGAGTGGGGTCCCCAGTGGACTCAGTCATGGATTGACTCTGGCCCTGGGACAAGTGAGGACAAGGTGGCTTCTTGTTAACTACGGCAGCTGCCGGATGGCCCACTGTCCCACGAGCCTCTTCTTTTCTTAAACATTTTTGTTAATATTTCAAAAGGAAAAGGTAGACAAAATATTCCCTACCCAGTTTAATAGCTAAATGCTTTTAGATCTGCACTCCAAGATGAAGGCTCTTTTTTTGTGCCTTGTATAAACAATGAAAAGATGCAGACAGCTAGCTCTCAGGTGCCTGGGCTGGAGGAGACAGTACCACCACACCAGGTGGAGCTTAATCTCTGCTTGCAAAGTAAATGTTTTCCGAAGAGCCTCACCTTCACTAATCTAGAGAGTGATCTTCCCCACTAAGGAGGCCGCGGGGGGTGGCGTGAGAGGCCCCCAAACCTGGAGCGAGCCTCCCTGGGGTAGAGTGAGGGGTGGGGGTTAAAGAGAGGTAGCCAGGTACCACAGGAGTGGATTTAACAGAGCAATGCCCTTAACGGTTTGATTGTTTGGATTTTCAGGGTTATTGAGTTCCAGGGTACAAGCAACTGGAAGGAATAACTTTGTTGTTGATTGCCATTGAATGATGAAAGCCTAATGACAGGATATCCACGCCTCTGAAGGCCCTCCCCCTCCCCTTTCTCTATCTCTGACTTCTCTGAGGTTAATCTCATCCTATAAAATTAAAAACCAACCAGTATATTCCCATAGTGTGTGTAAACACATGCAGGAGTTATCTCAGCCTCGGTGACCTCCCAAGTTCTTGTAGTTAGTGACCATAGAGGCTGCTCCTGTTATTCTAAGAATAGAAATTGGCAAGTAAGGGGCACCAGGGGACCTTGCTGTGGGGCATCCATCTGCCTTTGGCCTTTGGTCTGTGCTGTCTCACCTGGTGTTTCACCAGCATGTTCTCTGGCTTCTCTGTATATGAGCAAAGGGAGGAGTGACCAACTTGCTGCCCAGCCCCCTACTACCCCACAAAGTGGAAATGAAAACAGACTGGGGTGAGACCCTGGGCTGGAATTGCACTTCCTTCACCTGGCCACCCTGTGATGTCTGTCCTCAGCTCCGGAGCTGTCTTTATGGACATACTAGGACTCATTTTCTTGAAGTTTGCCCTCTGTGGCTTGAGGGCTGAGTGTTTGCTTCTTTTACCAACAGACGAAGGCCCTGGTATGTGTTCCATCCCCGTCAGTCTGTCAGGTTAGCAGGACTTCCACTTCTCTGGAAGTGAAGGCCAGAAAGAGTATGATGTGCCTCCCAGACTCGGTGTCACTGAAGGCCCCTCTCCTGGCGGGGCCCATGTGCCCAGATGTAGGGGAGAAGCAGTGAGGAGCTCCAGGAGAAAGCAGCTCGCTTTCACATAAGGTGATGTTCTGATTCCTGTCTTCCTGGCCCATCCTACCACCCAATTTCCACACCCCCAGTCAGCTTGGCTCTTTGGTGGTTCAGATCTGTCACCCCTTAATAAAGTGGCTTTCTGGCTGCCGGGGATTGAGAGCTGCTACCGGGGAATGTAAGTCACTAATAGAATGGAAAACACTGTGAAATGCTCCGAGGTGCCAAGCTGGGCCCAACCCAGTGTGGTTCTAAAAGGCTAATAAAAATCCACCAATTAATTGTGACAGCTCAATGGAAAATTATTCAATTGTGAACAGGGCCAAGCAGCAGCTCGAAAGGAGGAGGGGAGATGTTGCCATAGTAACATCAATCTAGGTTCTCAGCGGTCGAAGCCAGCCTGGGAGTGAGCAGCATTAGCCTGCCGCTGCATCTGACACGGGATGGGATGCAGGACACAGCAGAGCAGCGTTTGAAAGAGATGCTCTGCCTCGCCCCGGGCCTGTGGCCACTACTCCAGGCTGAGCGCTGGCCTCCCCTGGGGTAGAGAAGTTGTTTGCAGAATGCTCTTTGCTTTGAGAAAACTGGGGAAGGAGCAGTCAAGCACAGGAGGAAAATACACCCCATATTGTGTTTCCCTCTACCTTTGACCATCGGTATTTTACCAACTGCCAATTAAGGGGCTGCTGGGACAGGTGTGGATGCAGGCAGCACGATTTCCATCTCCCCAGAGTTAAGGCCCTCACTGCTCGGGAAAACCAGACTCTGAGGGCACAGAGGACCTGTAGGCAAGAGTCAGGTGAGCTTTCCATTATGGTTTTCAGTTGCAACTTTTATTTCAAAAGAGGCACACAACACATTCATATTCTGAACATTTGAAATGCAACCTTGCTCAAGCAAAAATGTATTCCTTCATTGTTCATCTCCCACTAGACCCTTGGCTTGGTAAACACTGTACCACCGAGGACAGTTATCAGAAGGGAATGGGCAGCCAGTTCCGAACAGTCTCCACACCACAGTGGGGTTTTCTTGCTAGAGGGATCTTGTGTTAATGAGGGTGGAGAACAAGATTTTTTTTTTTTTAACTTTCAGAACTATACTCTCTACCTAGTGGGGTGTACTCACTGAGAGCTGCACTTCGGATGTCAGCTACAGGCGTTCTTATGGAGACTGTCAAAACTTTACTCTGCTGTCATCATCAGCCCACCTCGCTTCAGCTCAGAGCAGCACAGCCAGCCCTGCCTGTTCATTGACTGCCGGGCCAGGGGACTGCTCAGAGCTGTGCCACCAGAGAAGGGGGCTGGAACAGCTACAGTAGGGCAGTGCTTTCTTCTTAACCAGGATACAGCTGGCTTTAGGTCACCTCCTTTTTGACACCATCCAGGTCTTTGCCTTGGCCAAGTTGGAAGTCAAAAGCAAGCACCCACCTAAGTGATCCTACTGCTAAGAATTCATTGTAATAATCCCCATGCCTTTATAGTGTCCCCGTCTTTCAGGCTCAAGGAGAAGACAGGAGCGGGAGTGGTAGCAGGAAGGGTCCACGGACGCCCTGGCCCCTCACCGGCGGCCGAAGCGGAAGCTGAAGCCACCTTTCTTCCTGCTGTAACTGCTGAGCTCCTCAGCCAGGGTCCCCAGCGGGCCGTTGGCCTTCTCACCATCCGCCGGGAGGAAGCCAGTAGCCTCGCTGCCATCATCCTGCCTCCCGAACCGGAACCTGAAGCCAGCACGCTGTCGGCCCGACATCTGCAGTTCCTTGGCCGTGACAAGCAACCCATGTGGGTGTGGTGCTCTCAGCCACCGGGAGGAGGCCCGTGGGAGGGGGGCGCGGTGCCCCCCAGGCAGGTTGGCCCAGCTCATCTCGCCTCCGACACCACTCATGGCTGCCACGGGCTCTTCTCTGTCCAGTAGAGGAAAGCAGGCACCCAGTGGCAGGAGGACAAGGCACGACAGGGACCGAGGACTTATCATCTGGCTCAGAGGAAAGAGAAGAAGAAGTTACAGGCTGTACACATGGGCCTTGCACGACAAGTTGTCAACAGTGCTTCCCAGGGCCTGGGCAGCCCTGAAAGGCTGGTGGCTCAACTGAGCCCAACTTGCAAACAGCTTGAGGAAGTGTCACTATGCGGTGGATCAGGCCTTTATTTTCTTAGCAGGCTCAGGAGCTGATTGAGCCAATTAGGCTGATTCTCCTCTCCGGCAGTCCCCTGGATCTGACGGCCTTGGCAGCTTAGCATTCAGATACCCCCGCTGCTGGGACGGCTCACAGCCATGCACCAGCAGCCCCCCTGAGTGCTGTGCAAATTCAGGCTCGTTCTTTATTATAATTATTGACTCTTGGGCCATATCGTCTCAGAGCCACAGGGTAGAAAATTCATAGCATCAATCTCAGTTTTCAACCTGATAGTCTAGCTAAACTGTATAGCTGGGACACCCAGCTAACGTCTCTTTAACATGGAAACGAGTTGCTCCCGGAAGCAGGACACAGATTTGATGTTCCTGGCCTAACTCAAACACTCAGCTGTGGAGGAGCATGTGGACATGCCTGGGCTGTTGATGAGCCCTACAGAGCACCGTCTGTGTGCGCGGCTGCACGTCCCCTTCACAATAAGCTTAATTTTTAGGCCCTGTTAGTCCCATGTTTTCAGGCAAGAAGACTGTCAGGCAGGCTAGGAGGTGGTGCCTAGGCCACACAGCTGGCAGGTGGAGGCCCTGAGATCCATGACTCTACTGGCCACACAGCTGCTTGGTTTGCCAAGCCTGTGGGTAGTGCTTCCTGGCCATGTCTGGTACCATCCTCACAGGCCTCCCACAGGAGGGTCCTACCCCTTTTATGGAGGGCGGCATGCTCAAACAGGTGACTCACCCAAGATCTCAACAGCGTTACAAGCGACAGAGCTGGGGATACAAGCCCAGGTCTAAGTGACTCAGAATTGCTACTCTACCCCATGGAGGTCCGGGCTGGGCGGGGATTTGAAACAGAAATAGATCTTCCCAAAATGCCCCTGCTTCAGCAATAGTTGCTCATTCCCTCTTAAAGGAAGCCTTTTTGGTAATGACCATGGTGAGCTGGAGCCAGCTATTCCTCTGAGGAGTAGAACTGAGACTAGAAGAAAGAGCTAGTTCTGGAGAAGAAGCATGGGCTCCCCAGTGCTCTTTCCAGAAATGGCTCCCTTGAAGACATTTCAAAGTGAACTCAGCCAGAAGGCTTTAAAAAATGATAAAAGCAGCCCTTCTCTCTACCCAAATCCAGCCCTCCTAACTTCCATCATAACATCCCCCGGGGCTGGAGCCAAGTCTGGCCTGTGTCAGGGAAGCCTCTCCGTCGGGGCCTGGGCGGAGTGGAGGGCTTTCCACCTGGTAGACAACTCCACTTGGGGATGGCCTCTGCGTCTGGAGAAAGGGCGGATTGATGCATAGAAGGAAGTGGCTCCTATCCTTTTCTGGGGGGTTGTGGACCTCTTCAAAAACATGGTGGAAGCTTGGGACACACACCACCAAAAATTGGGCCCCAGCATAAGTCACAGCTTCAGGCCCCCGTGTTTAGGACAAGGCAGGGGAGGCACATAGTGGGAGAGCTGAGCTGTTGAACCAGCTGTGGCCAATCTGGCCTGTAAGAGGAGGTGCTGGTCTCCACCCGCCTGGGGCCTAGCCAGCCCCTGACCTGGCCCCCGGCCCCAGTGAGCAGGGCTCCTGCCAGGGATGGAGTGGTGGTACTCACTGTGCTGCGGGTCTGCTCCCCAGGAAGGCTGCTGGGCAGGGTGCCTCTGCCTGGGAGGTGTGGCTCCTGGCTTCTCTCCTGCCTTATATACCACTCCCCCCCTCCCCGTGAACTTGCTGCTCTGAGGTTTGATTGCTGCACATTCCTGACCCTGGGATTCCATTGGGGACGCTGGTGGTGAAGGACTTTATCACTGCGTTGATGAAAGACCCACTGCAAACAGGATGTGGTCTGATGAGAGGAGCAGAGGGGGCTGCCCTTTGCCCAGAGGCCCGCCTCGGGTGGAGGAGACTGGGTGGCATCATTAACTATAAATCTTGGGCACAGACCCTCAGGCCCCTTGGAAGAGGCGTGGAGGGCACACCCACCCTTGATCCTAGCGGTCCCACCTTTGTCGGGTCTGCCTTACACTTCGGAGAAGTGGGGGAAGGTGTCCCCACCTCCTCCCCTCCCACCCACCCCCACCCCCGCCACATCCCACCAGCTCAGCTGTTCCTGTGGGTGCAGGAAGTCAGACCTGTGAGGCCAACAATTGCCTCTCCCTCCCTCCTTCCCTCCCTCCCTCTGGTTAGGCAGCAAGTAGGCCAGGTGCCATGGTTCGTGGCTCGCCAGTTCCCAAGCCTCTCGAGGGCCTGAGCGGGACAGCAGGAGGGCTGCCAACCACGACAGGGCCTGTGGCAGGGGTTCGGAGCCCACTGCCTGGCCCAGCCCCTCTCCAGCTGTGTCCCCTGGACCACGGTCGACGTGTTCCTTAGAAGGGAAGCTTGAGGTTCCCGCCACCATAACCCCAGTGCTGGCCTCGGTGCCTGATGCCCATTTGGGAAAGGAAGGACAAATGTTTTCCAAACTCGCTGATGCTCCCCTGGGTGGCTGACAGTGCCTCGCTTTCTGGACCTCAGCTGAGAGGGCTCACAGCGACGGATCCCGAAGAGGAGGCTGTTGGCCCCATGTGGGACCTGCCAAGGGCAGGGGGAGGGCTGTCATGGTCACAGCTCCAGCTCTTCTCACAGCTGGCACCCACAGAGGAGGACACCAGCAGTCATCACTCCCAGGGGCTTTCTCCCCAGGAGAGCTCACCGGTGGGCTTGGGGAGCATCACGTGCTGTCACCCGTACTTCGTTCCCACAGTGGAGTATGGAACTGGAGGGGCAGTGCTGTGGGCCCACCTGTTCCACACGATCCCCTCTGGTCCAGGCATGGCCACTGGCTGGGCACCTTGCGCACCTCTCAGGGAGCTCACCCCGTGGTGGTTCACTCTGCCTGCCCCGTGATCACAGGGCGACACTGGGGGCTGCTCCAGGTATGAGGTCTGCATGGCTAAACCAGGGTGAGGTTCCCAGGTGGGCAGAGTGCACTGCACAGTACTCTCCCAACACTGGCCAAGGTGCGAGGCAGGTGCCCGGCATGGGGGGAGGCGTCTATGTGGGTGCCAGCGCTTGGGCTGGTCCAGCCTGCAGCCCCAGGAGCCCCTTCACCTGCCTCTGCTGTGCTCCCATCCCGCTGCTCTGTATCTGAGGAGCATCTGTTGGACACCAGCCTGGACAGGTCCCTGGCCACTACTTCTTGCTCGGCCTAGATTTTCCCTCCACCGACAGTGAGCTGGGCAGTGAGGGGAGCAGGTGCCTGGTGAGGCTGCAGCTGCCCGTTGCCATTCAGGGGGAACCGCTCAGGTGAGGCTGGGGATGAAGCACAGAGGCATTGCCCCAGTCTCCGGGGCCCTTGCCCACCTGTCAGGTAGGTGCTGGGGGTGTGGAGAATCACCCCACCATCACACAGGAATAGAAGTGGCCTCATGGGCACTTCCTCGCCCCCGTAGACCTGAGAAAGGGGCTAGAACACATACCCCCTGCAGGGGGAGGGTGGAGACTGAGGCTCAGAGCACTTGGCTGTGCAGGACAGGCCCAGCCCCCACCCTGCACCCTGTCCAGCCCCATCTGTGCAGGAAACCTTGGCTCCCCTTAGTCTTGTCTGGAGAGAACAGGGTCAAGAAACGGCAGTGTGGATTGACTTTGGGCCTCTCCCTGGGCGGGAGTGGGGAGAGGGAGCACCCATGCGCCAACCAGAGCAGGTGCAGGGCCAGCTTTATCCATCAGGTAGGGGCTGCACTGAGGGGCTGGGGTGTGTGTGCGTGTGACAGGGGAGGTGCAGGGTCATGTTATTGCCCTAGTTAGTGCTGGTGACGCTGGTGACACTGGTGCTGGTCAATGATGCTGTGCGGCCTGCAGTGGGCCACTCATACTGTGAGGCCTCGGGCCAGATGACCTGCCCTCTCTAGGCCTCAGGTCCCTGGGTGTCAGATGGAAGGTTCTGGTGCCTGAACTGAGCTCTGTGAAATTTCTCAGGGACAGCCGTGGAGAGTAGAGAGGGCAGAGGTCCAACCCCAAAGGCCACCCCATCCTGCTGGAGGAAAGCTCCCCTTGGCTGTTCAACACACTGAGCTCCTAGAAAAGCTTCCTCTGTGAGAATCACCACTGATCCAGGTCCTGCTCAGAACTGGCACCTACGGCTCTGAGAAGAGGCCACCGACAGTCCAGAGTGTTGGGGCTTGCGCTTGGGGTGGGGGCAGGCCTGGGGGTGAGTAGCCCACAGATTCCCCAGCCCCGAGCCCCCTGTCCCCAGGTCAGAGTGCCCGGGGTCAAGTCTGCTGTTGGATTTGGTACCATCCTTCCCAACTCCTGGGCCCCCAGCAGGACGCCCCAGAGCAGCTGACCCAAAAGATTCTTGTTATTTTTAAAAAAGTTATTTAGAGAGAGCATGTGCGCAGGGGGAGGAGCAGTGGGAGAGGGTGAATCTCAAGCAGATTCTGCCCCCAGCACGGGTGTAGAATTCTACACTCTGAGGTCACGACCTGAGCTGAAACCGAGTCAGATGTTCAACCAAGCCACCCAGGCGCCTCCAAAAGAGTGTTTGTAAGTGTACTTCCTGGGCTCCCTCTAGGGAACGAGAAGTGGGAGAGGTGATACCTCTGGGTGCTCAGAGCTGCGGATGGGCCGGCTCCAGGCTGTGGGAAGGTCAGGGATGGCTCCAGCTGTGCGGGTCGGAGAGCAGGAGGGTCCATTCAGGCTCAGCTCCCCACAGCAGGGTCAGGGTGAACGGGGAAGGGCCTCCAGGGGGGTCCAGCCTTCTCACACTGAGTGAGGTTCCCTGGGAAACGGCCCCAAGACATTGGTCCTGGGATGTCCAAGCAGACCGGCAGCCTGAGCTCCTCGACTCACCCCTGCCCTCGCTGCTCTGCACGGGGCTGTGGCTTTGCAAGGGTGGCACCTGCTGGCTGTGTTAAGCCCAGGCTCCCGGTGGGGCTCTTGGACTTCTTCCCAACCACCTTGCAGGCATATGCAAGTACGCAGAACTGGGCTCCCCCAGTGCTCAGCCATGCCCCAGTGGCCTTGGGGCAGTCACTTTCTGAGCCTCGGTTTCTCCCCCCAGCCTCGGACAGCAGGGGTGCTCACATCATGGCAGGGGTTGGGAGCTACTGGGCGAAAGGTGGGTCTGGTATGGCACCAACTCAATCCGTGTTGGCCGCTCCTGGTGCTCAGGAGAGCCCAGACGGAGCCCTCTGCGTACGCACATACCATCAGAGCCCTGGCAGTGCTGCCCGAGCCCCTCCGCTGTGGGCGGCCTCTTCCTGGGCTGTGGTATGCGCGGTTTGTGGCTGAAATGCAAGCCCCCCATCAGCTGTCGAAACCTACACGACTGAGTCCACAGACTCTTTCCAGTTGGCCCAACGAGCTGAGGCAGAGTGGCTTCCTGCCAGGGACGCCCTGTGTGGAAGGCCTGGTGGCCGCAGGAGGGAGCCAAGTGGGGCAGGGCCCGCACCCGGGGCAGGTGTGGCCCATGGTGGCCACGATGACCTCAGTGGCTTCCCAGGGCCGGGCTCAGGAGTCGCATTGCCAGACGTTCCTGTGGGCCTGAGAGCGAGCTTTGGAGCAGGCAGGACGGCATGCCTCTGGGCTGGGGACACTGGTGGGACGTGGCGTGCTGTGACCAGTCTGGAAGCCCCCGGCCGCCGGGGCAGAGACCTCCGTCTGCCACGTGGCTGGGCACACAGACGCCCTGCAGCCACCTCCCCGGGCCTACGGCAGGGCCCTGGTGCGTCCTCCTTCCACGGGCCCCATGCCGGGTCCGATGTGGCCGCCCAATAAATGCTGGATTTCATTAAATAACTTAGGGGTTGGTTTTGTCCTCAAACTTCACGTTGGTTTTGTGAATAAATAGCCATTGGGGACTGTTGTTTTTAATAAAGTCTCAGCTCCTCGGGACTGCAGCCTGAAGAGAGACCCGCAGGGCCCTCTGGGGACCCTGGGGGGAAGCACAGGTCTCCCCCACCGGGTGCAGGCAGGGCAGGCCTCACCTCCACCTGCCCCTGCGCCAGCTGGGGCCAGGTGTGCAGCTGGTTCTGCTGCAGGATCTGGTGCAGCCTCTGGGGGGCACAGTTCTCCGGGAAACGTGCCTTCAGGAGAAATAAAGACCTGAACGGTGAGGAAGTTGGGGAAATCGTGCAGGAGTCCGTCTTGGAACACCTGGTGGCAGGATGTGGGACACCGAGGTTAGAGGCAGAGGCCCCAGCAGGTCACGAGACTTTATTAGACACAGGAACACACACGACACCCACTGTGCACAGCCCCACCCAGCTTCTGTCCCATCCCGTGCTCCATCCACGGGCAGTGACCCCGCACACACGCAGCCAGCCTCGTGTGCATGCCTGTTGGCACAGCCGGGCACCAACCCCCCCCCACTCCATCTCCACGCGGTCCCACCACGGCCAACCTCAGCCGTCAGGGTTTGCTGAGTCCTGCTGGCGGCCGGGCCCGCTCAGGGCCTGGGGACAGCTCTCTCCCTGCAAGCAGGTGAAGAAACTGAGGCCCCAGCCACTTGGACCAGAGCCTAGTGCCCTTGTTCTAGGTGAGGACATCTCCTGCGGGCATGGTGCTCCTCCAGCTGCACGGGACAGAGATCCGTGGCTGACCCCTGGCCTAGCTGGGGACCTCCAGCCCGGCCCCCCACGTTGGCAGACACAGCCCCTCCCCTCCCGGTGTCCTGGCAGTTCCGGCCCCAGCCAGAGGCCCGCATGCGCGAGGGTGGCTGACGGTGGGAGCAGGGGACAAGGAAGAGGCCGGCCTGCGATGTTGCTTCTGCCCCAAGACACACGTTATCAAATGGATTTACGTGCGGCTACGGTGGGGGGCGATGCAATTTGGGAACTGCTCACACACAGTCTCTCCTGCGGACCGTGCCGAGGCCATCAGGGTGGAAGCCCAGGAACCGTCCGTCCTCTGGGCGCAGCGAGCTCAGGTGACCCACCAGGTGGCCCCCGGGTTAACTCTGAGGCGTGTCCAAAGTCTGGGGGGGGGGGGCGCGGGGTGAGTGAGGCCACTGGCTGGCTCCGCATCACCCACCAGTGCTGGTGGAAAGGAACCCTCAGAAGCTTGTGGGGCCACATGCACTGGCCAAGGTCCCCGTGTAGAGACCCCGCCTTCTGCTTGGCTGGCACTCCTCATCAGAGAAGAAAAGGGAAGGAGATCGGGTCAGGTCACAGGTGACAGTGGGGTGGCAGGCGCCTGCTGTTAAACCATCCACACAGACCCCTCCAGACAGAGTTCGGGTGCAGTGAGCATGGGTCCTGACTGACATTTGCACCCACCCGCCACCCCTCAGGTCTTGCTAGAGCTGCTTCTTGCCACCTGCTCTAGCATCCTCTTCTTTCCACGGTCCCACTTTCCGTGGTCACTCCCACGCATGTGACAGCCACTCACACGGCCAGGGCCTGCCTTGCCCACTGCAGCCCTCCTGGCTCAGAGCAGGTGCGCAGGGCCCCCTGTGCTCCACACCGGCCTTCAGGGTGTGCCCTCTAGGAAGCGGGGTACACTGGCCTTGGAGCCTCAGCCGTTCCCCCCCAGGCCTGAGCTGAGCCGCGTCTGTTCTACGGCCAAGCCCTGGCAGGAGCGCCCGAGCTTCCTGACACACATGCACATCTGTGAATCCATTAACATCACACTCACCAGGAGTTTGTTTGATGACAGATCAGAAAACGCCTGACACTTTCCAAACAGCGGCTGGCACAGGAGGCTGGCGGGGGAAGCCGGCTCTAGCCTGGGGCTGGTGGGGAAGGGGGCTCCCTGGGACGAGGCCTCGGGGTCCCACCTGGCTCTCTGTGGCTGGGGGTCCCGGCAGCTAGGTGCACTGCCTCCTCTTCTAGAGGCCGGGAAGGGGGCGCGTCCCTTCTCGTCCTAAGGAACCCTCCTGCGCTCATCTCCCCCCATTGCCCCCTCCCCCCCTCCGCTGGGCTGCTCCCCAGGACCTGGTCACCCGGGCTGCACTGCCCAATTCCCAGCCGCTTCTGCTTCAAGAGCCGACAGGGCAGCAAAGCTTTGCGGAAAGCCGTGACAGGTGCAGCTGCGGGGACTGGCCAGCTCATGCTGCGGGTCGGTGGCACTGGGAGCCCCCCTGCTGCCCCGGCCGGCTGTGGCTCCCGATGACTGATGACTGCAGCACAGCTTTGGTGGAGGGGAGGGGAGAGCTGAACCCCACACTCCCGTTTGCCTGGCTCACCCACCTTTGGGCGTCCTGCAGGGAAACACGCCCTCCGTCCTTCCCGAGGGGATCACTGCTGCTCGCCCCTGGGCAGCTCCCAAGGCTGGCCTCGTGGAGCCTCTCAAAGGGCCCCAGCAAATCCCCGCAGGTAGGAACTTCGTAAAACAGCCCCGGGCTTGGATCTGACGCAGGACATCAGGGTCCCAGCGCGTCCATCAGGGTTAAGGGCCGCTGACCTTGGGAACCTGCAGTTCCTGTCAGGGGTGGGGGGTGGAGAACGACAGAACACTGGGAGGATTCAGTGCAAGGTTGTTTCCAGTGTCTGGTGGTGCCTCGGTCCCCACGGAGTCTGTCCCTGTCCCCTGACCCGAGGTGGCAGCACCCACAATCACCAGCAGGAGGCGGCCTCCCACTGAGGCCTCAGGACCCTCACGTCCAGCCTCCACCCTGTAGGCCTGCTGGCAGGAGGCTCTAGGACCCTGGAGTCCCTGGAACTGGGGTCAGTGGGGGTGGTGGTGGTGGTACAAGACCCATGACGGCCCAGAAAATAGAGAGGTCCTCACTGGCCAGGCCCAGAGGGTGTAGGATGGGCCCCAGCCTCCCACAGGGAAGCGGACAGGGTGGGGGGCACTCCGGCTGCCTTAGGAAGGCAGGAGGCTGGGAGCAGCAGCCAAGGGGACTGAGGACCTCCCAGGCCTGCAGGAGCACAGGGGTGGACAGAGGGGGCGGGGGGGAAGCCCCAGGGAACGGCCCAGGCCCCCTTGGGCTAGGAGTCCCACAGGCTGCTGCGCCCCAGCCTGGCCTGGGGGAACGGTAGGGTAGGGCAGCCCTCCGCACCACCACTCCCCACGGTCCTGAGGGGAGAGAAGGGGGGCGGCCAGGAGGGCCAGAGGAGGCTGGCCTCGGACCTGACTCCGAAAGATCCGAACACTGCCTCTGTCTGCTACAGGGGCTGCAGGGGTGCTGCCTGCCCCTACTCTGCACCCCCAAAGCGCCAGGTGTTGGTACTGGCAAAGTTGAGGGGCTGCCAGGGTGCCTGGCGGACCGCTGACCAGGGGAAGGCAAGACATTTAGCCCAGGAGCCCAGGTCCCAGCAGGTAAACGTGGGGTTGCCAAGTGCACCCTGCCCCACCTCAGCAGAGGGGAAGTGGAGGGTGGGGACAGCGCAGAGGGGACGGACGTGCAGCCCACCCCGATGCCAGGGCAGGTGGGCATGGGGGGAGATGCAGGTGCAGCGGGGCGGCAGGGGGGGACGAGGGAGGGGGACGGGCGGTGGGCGGTGGCACGCCCATCTAGCGGTCCCCACGGACCGGCCGGATCTTCATCTCCGAGAACTTGAGCGAGTACTGCCAGCCAGTCCAGGAGGACCACTCAATGCCGTCGGCGTAGGAGGCGTGCGCGCCGCGCAGGTACTGCCCGTTGAGGTTGGACGTGTGGCAGTTGCGGTACCACCAGGCCCCGCGGTAGAAGGCGGCGCAGTTGTTCTCCGAGTGGTCGCTGTCACGGTCCCTGGTGGTGAACTTCATGCCGCTGTGCTTCAGGAGGGAGTCCCCTGCGCAGGCGCGTGCACACACACAGGTGTAGGCACGGGGACGGCCCTGGCACACGTGTGCACACATAGACATGATGCCCCCCACATACACACGTGCTGTGCGTGCACATCTGCCCCAACGTGCCCCTGGGGTCTGCATGGGTGACATGCTCCCCCAGGGCGCCACCTTGGGGGTCCCCAGGCTGTCCCTGGTCCTGGCTGTCTCCGCCCCTCCTGCCACCTCTTTCACACACTCCCTTTCCCTGTCGGGCCTCCAGGTAAGAGAGGAACACAGCCCAGAGGGGCGCAGCCACCACACTTTAGAGGTCCAGCAGGTGTCCCGATTCCTGGCTCAGGGCTCACTTTGCTCATCTGCAAAATGGGTGACCAACTTGGGCCCCGCTGCTTCGTGCTGCTGGGATGAGGGCCAGATGGGACTTGAGACACGCCAGTCTGGGGGTGCCTCTGTCCTTCCGGGTGGGGAGGCAGGCGGGTGCCCCCCCCCCGCCCTTCTGTCCCCCTACCTGCAGTGCCCGAGTAGTCAGCCACGGTGAGCGGGTACCCGTCCTCCTCCGGGTCCACGGAGAACAAGCCCACGCCAAAGCTTCCGTAGCGGGCGTAGGCCGTGCTGTTGTCGAAGTCTTCCAGGTCAACGTGGAGTTCGTAGGTGGCCTGCGTGGTCAGGGCGTGGAGCCTCCTGAGCCCTGGGGCGGGGGAGAGAGTGGCTGGGGGGGACTTACGAAGTGACCCCCTGACAAGAGGGAAGTGAGGGGACCCGAGGGCCAAGCTCACGTGGTTGGCGACAGGACAGTCTGCCCCGGGCCGCAGCCCTCCTCCTGCCAGCCTGTGTTCAACAAGGAAACCGAGGACGGACGGTTTCTCAGGTCAGGTCATGTTTTACCAAATGTTTGCGCAGAAGGTTAGTGGAGAGGCTGCAGGAGGCAGAAGGAGCCTGGAATATCTGGGTCGGGGGTGACAGCACCCCTAACCTCTCTTCCACTCGGGGCTCCGGCCAGAAGGGGGCCGGTCCCTGTACACACGTCCCTGAACCTGGCCTCTGAGCCTTTGCACATGCTGTTCCCTCTGCCTGGGACACTTTTCCCTACTCCTCCGGGTTATGTTGGGTTCTATTTTCAGGCCTTAGGAAGGCCACCTGGTCTCCTGTCGGGGCTGAGGACCTCTGCCTACCCAGGGGCTCCCCCTCTTGGAGTTTCTCATTCTGCACCCGGGCTGCTCCCCCCACCCCAGGGAAGGTCGCTGAGAGCAACATGACTGGATGGAGCATCTGTGTGGGGCTCAGTACACGACAGGTGCTCGGCACATGCTGGCGGGGTGGGTGAGCAGTGGAAGGTGGGGTCTGAGGCTTCTGCTGTCTCCGGGGCCCAGCCCCGCACCTGCCCGTGCACCCCATCGTTGCCCGCCCGCCCTCACACACTCACACCCAAGGTGCTTCCCTGCCAGTTTGATTACTTCTTGATTAGGAGGGCATTTAATTAAAATTATAAGTTATCAGCATCGAGTGACATTTTCATCAGCCTCTCCTTCCTGAGCTGCGAACGCCCCGCAGGAGGGTCAGGGCGTTCAGGCTAAGGGGGCGAGGGGCCTGTTCAGCCCTTCCCCGTGGGGGCCAGAGGGGGACCCCAGGCCTGTGGTCCAGCACCAGTGCCTAGGAGGAGCAGCTGCAAGAAGAGTAACAGCGGTGCCCCCGGCACACCCACTGCGGACCCCCTGCATCTCCCTGGGCCCCCACCCTCATCCTGCTCCCCCAGGCCCCACCAGGACCCGGCTCTGAGCAGAAGGCTTTCATCCCCCTGCCTCCCTCTACTCGTTCCTGTGCTGAGCTGCCCCTCTGGGGGCCCCAGCCTGCACCCCCACTTGCCCTCCCCACACCTGAGGGCCTCCCACACAGTCAAGGGCTGGCATCAGACAACGATGACAACCGCCACCAGCTGGGTGGCCCTTACAATCCAGCCCCTGTTCCAAGCTTAATGAATCCGGTGGAATCAGAATGAGTCCAATTTAATGAAAGCTCCTGGAGCGGCACTGCCCACGGCACGCATCACCCAGGAGTTTGCTGCTGCTGCGTGACCCACGAGGCAGGGGCTACATCATCCCTACGCTATGGGTGCCGAGAACCAGGCACAGGGAGGTCAAGGGATGCGCCTAGGGCACACGGCTGGGAAGTGGCACAGCTGGGATTTGAACCCGGGCACACCTGCCTGGACTCCTTGCTCTTGCTCAGCTCTAGTCCAGGACAAGTATTCCAATCCAGGGATAGGGCAGGAGGGACTCCAGCCTGGCAGGGATGCTGGATGATTCCAGATTCCTCTCCCCCACTGAGTGGTTGCTGTGCACAAAGGCCCACTGTTTGCTCTGCTCCCGGTGCGCCATCCCCATACCCACGAGGGGCCCCTGGGCAGGGTGTCCTGGAGGAGGGGCAGGGTGGGGGCGCTGGGAGGCCTCTGCCATCTTCACCCTTCTTCCCACAAATGTCACTTCCCTCCCTCGCTCTCCCTCTCTCTCCACCCCCTGCGTCTCTCCAGCGCCCGCTCATCTGCCAGGACACTCGCAACCCCCACGCCGCACTTTGCTGGGCCCCTGGAGGGTGAGCCGAGATGGGACCTCATCACCACTAGAGTTGGAGGAAGAAGGAGCCAGTGGGTTAAGATGGAGGAGAAAAATACTTAGACCCCAAACCTCATACCATCACCCCCAACAAACTCCCAAATCTCATACAAACACTGAAAAAACATTCAAAGAAAAAAAATAGGAGATGGCTTTGTAAAACTGGGAGGGGAAAGCAGGGCCTAAAACCCAGAGGATACAAAGGAAAAGACTTGGCAAGAACTGGCTTCATAAAAATTTAAAATATCTAGGAAGAAAGTAATAATAATAATAATAATAATAATAATAATAATAAAAGAGGCTGAGACAAATGACCAGGAGTAAATACATATCATGTGTATCTGACAAAGAATCAATAACCTTAATATATAAAGAGCTCCCATAACTCAATAGGAAAAGATCAAACACTGGGTGAGAAGGTGACAGGGGAGTGTGGAAAAGCAAAGGGAGGGAATGGCCAGGGCGTGGAGGGCTGAGTTGACATTCTCCTCAGGGCTCCCTGTCTGCCAGGAGCTAATCAAGGCCCCACTTAAATGCATCCTCCCGCACCTTCCGTGGCTGCTGATAGATTTCAATTAAGATGCCGTGAGTGGCAGAGTCACCAAGACTGCTGCAAGGGGGTGGGTGGTGATGCAGAAACAGGGCCCCCACCTGCCAGCCCCCTCCCTAGCCTGACACACGCACGGGGGTGTGGTGAGGCGGGTGGGTGGGTGGGGTGTGCGGTCTTCCCTCCTAGGAGCTCCCTTCTCCCAGCCCCTATCCTGCCGCTGCTCGCACTCACTCAGTTCAGGTCATGGTTTAAAGCTTGTGAATCAAAAAAAAGCTTGTGAATCCTGCCCAGGCTCCCTCCACCCCAAACACCCACACCCTGCTCACTCTGGGCCTCATTTCCTCGCCCATAAGAGGACAGGACAATAGCAGTGCCACCCTTTCAGGGTGGGTGTGAGGCGTCAGGGCCGAAGTCCATGACATAGGCCAGGTATATAGCAGGTGCGCAGTAAGTGGACTGGTAATAAAGCCCACACTGGGGTGCCTGGCCCTTCCTGCAGCCAGGCCCTGCCCAATAACAGGGACACAGGACACACAGCAGAGGCCAGGACAGAGGGGTCCTGCCCTCGTGGATCACAGGGTCAGGAAGGGAGACAGACATTAGGCAAGTGAGAGCGAAGATGGCCTCCCAGGTGCCTCTGCGCTTGTGGCCAGTGGGCACGTACAGGTTCCACCTTTGAGACTGAACTTCTCTTCCCCTAAAACTTCCTATAGGCCTACAGGCTGGAACCGTCCTGACCCCCACGTGGAGCCCAGCTCTCTGATCAGTGCTCCCCACCAGCCACATGCCTCACCTCTTCTCTCTCCTGCCCCTTGCTCTCCGGGGATGGGGGGTGGGGGTGTGTTCCCAGATACCCAGGCCCAGGGAAGCCAAAGCACAGCAGGTGTGCTGCGGGGTGTGCGAGGCCATTCAAACATGGCGTGTCAGCCCAGTGCTGTGGTTTTGTTTTATTTTTTAAAGTGTACTTACTTAAGTCATCTCTATACCCAATGTGGGGCTTGAACTCACAGCCCTGAGATCAAGAGTGGCACGCCCCTCTGACTGGGCCAGCCCTGCCCCAGTTTTAATGAGTTAAAAATATAAAAGGGGGTGACTGCTAATGGGGGCACAGGGCTTCTTTTGGGGTGCAGAAAATGTTCTAGAATTAGGTGGGGGTGAGGGTTGTGCAACTCTGGGAATATACAAAAGCCCCCCAGAATGGTGCACTTTGAAACAGTGAATCAGGGGATCCCTGGGTGGCTCAGTGGTTTAGTGCCTGCCTTCGGCCCAGGGCATGCTCCTGGAGACCTGGGATCGAGCCCCGCGTCGGGCTCCCTGCATGGAGCCTGCTTCTCCCTCCTCCTGTGTCTCTGCCTCTCTCTTGCTCTCTGTGTCTAACATGAATAAATAAATAAAATCTTCAAAAAAAAAATGAGGGCAGCCCCGGTGCCCTAGTGGTTTGGCACTGCCTTCAGCCTGGGGAGTGATCCTAGAGACCCGGGATCGAGTCCCATGTCGGGCACCCTGCATGGAGCCTGCTTCTCCCTCTGCCTCTCTCTCTCTCTCTGTGTGTGTGTTTCTCATGAAAAAATAAATAAAATCTTTAAAAAAAAATGAAATGGTAAATCATCTCTACCTGTTCAAAAACCCAAACCTCACCCCAAGTCCCAACTCCCTTCCAAATATATATATATATATATAGGACCTCAGACCTATGGTTTTTATGGACGTTATACTTCAGAATGAAATTAGGTAAGATATTCAAATTTTAAAATACCAAATGAATTTCAAGACAAATAGTAACAGTCACGTGCTGATTAGCTTTCGGAGCCTTTGCCGAGGACCACGCAGACCGTGCGCCAGCCGTGGGAAATGTGGAGTGTGCCACGGGGCCTTAGGAACTGCAGCCTCTCTTTTGGGAGTTAGGCCCCATACACCCCAAGCACACAGCAGGCATTTGCTGACCCCTGAGAGCAGGGTGATTTGGGGCTGTCCTGGACATCTCTGTGCCTGAAACTGAGCCCTGTCCCTGCCCCCAACTCAATAGACTCAGGGTGGTGACCAGGTCCCAGGGCGTCCCAACGGGAGAAGTACGACCCCTCCAAGGGACCCACTCACAATGCCGGCGCTTCCTTTGGCTTCCGGCTCCTTGACCTCATTCATGTTGAACACACGGATCACCTTTCGCACCTGGGAGCTGGCTCAGGTGTGTGGGGGCCCAGGAGACCCTGATCACCCACCCTCGGGGTGGGGTCATGGCTCTTACCCAGCCAGTGCTCCCCCGTGAGCTTGCCGAAGCCATCCCGGTACGCTTCCCAGCCTCGGAAGAAATTCACGGAGCCGTCCTCGCGGCGCTGAAACACCTGCAAGGGATGGAGAGCTGGTGCCGGCCTCCCCGGGACCCCCACCCTGACGTGCGTCCCCTGCCCCACTCACTCCCTTCAGCGGCCCGCTGGAGGAGGGGAGGGGCCTGGGGCAGAGCGAGGACTGGAGGGCCTAATGGTGGCCCCCGAGATGGGACCGACTGTCTGCTCCCAGGTCCCCAATGACTGCCCCCAGGTCCCCAAAACGTCGCCCCCAGGAAGGAATCAGGGTGACCGTGCTGGAGAAAACCTGGCTTCCAGGCCCAGCTCTGCTGCCTTGCTGTGGGACCCTGGACTGGTCCCACCTGGCATGGGCCTCAGTTTCCCCAAGGCTGAAATAAAAGGGGTGGGCAGAGGGTCCTATTATCTTTTCCCAGGTCAAAACAAAACTGGGCAAAAATGCATTCTCGAGTTTTCAGGAATCGAGAACACACACACGCCCAGGCCCAGCCTCCAGAGCTCCAGGTCTCAAAATGATTCTGCCAGAGTCTCCCGCCGCCCCCCCAAGCTTGAGAAGCCCAGGCACCTGGGACCAGAGCCCCGGCCACTTCTCGGGGGCCTGGGTGGCGGGCGGGGAGGGGGGCACAGGAGTCCCCAGCCCGCAGGGGTGTGGCTCAGGCACCAAGGCACAGCCGAGCTGCCTTGCTCCTCATCTTACTGACATTCCCGACTTGGGAGTCAGGAGTCCCATCGGTTAAATTGCTTTGAAATAAGTCCCGCGCAGCCAGGCCAGAGCTGCCGCGAGTGTTTACAGGATCCGCTGACAATCCCCTTCCTGGCTGCCGCCCCTCCCAACTCTTTCTGTGTAACAAGCCTTTTCCTTGCCCATTTGCCGAGGCAGCACCCCGCCCCCCACCCTCCCACCTCCATCTGGGCCACGTGGCGTGGAGATGCGGCTGCAGCGCCAGTGAGCTGCCGGTTTCATTACTAAGCAGCCTGATTTCATCCGCCTGGAACTGCCCGGGTGCATCATCTGCCGCGAGCTCGGCATCTGTCCGTGGGGACCTGTCTGTCACAGCCTTTGGGCAGCTCTGACGTCAGGGAGTGGCAGGGAGATGACACCTCTCTTCTTGCCCTGCGCTCTCCAGCCCGCCCGGCGCTGACATGTGCAGTGCTCAGAAGGGACCGGCTGGGGAAATTCGATCAGGCTCGGAGCGATGTGAGAGGCGGTGGGCAGCGGTATTGATGGCCAGATTGGGACCCTGAGCACGTGCCCTTTGAAAGGCTTAATCCTGGCAGAAGCTCTGACACTCCCCAGAGAAGTCTCGAGAAGGCCGCGGGCAGCAGGAGCCTGTTTCTGCAGGAGGAGGAGAGAGCCAGGGGCCGGGTGGGGGCAACGGTTGGGACCAGGGCCCTGCCACTTAGAGCACTGGCCATCGCCCCATCTGCCTGGGCCTCAGCCTCCCCGTCTGTTGGTGGGGGTCACAGCAGCGCCTCCCCCATGGGCCGTGGTGGTCCGCGGAGAACGTGCTCAGGGCCTAGCACACAGCCGGTGCGCATGCCCGCTGCGGAGCGACATGGGCCTCTCCTCTGCCCCCGGCCCAGGAACACTCACTCCCTCTTCCTCCTAGACTCAGGCCCTACACATGTCCGCCCTAAGCCATCCAGCCCCACCCTTCTTCATCTGTCCAGATGTTCCACTGAGCATCCCCCTTAGAGCAGAAAGACACAGTTCCCCCCCGCCCCCCGCCCAGGTAGGCAGTCCCTAAGACATAGGGACAGTGGGCCTGCCCAGCAGAGCCAGCTCTGGAAGGGAGCCCGGGGCAGGCCTGGAGGAAGGGCAGGGTCCCTGCTACAAGTGAGGCCGGGTGGCCCTGGGGATGCCACCCTTCCCCTCTGGGCCTCATCTATCCTCTACCACTGATAAGCCAGGCCTGCCTCCCAGGACCCCAGGGAGAGTGCTGGTACTGTTATCACCATCATTGTTATTTTTTCCCGTCAAATACTATGTATGAAGTAGAATGGGGGGGGGTGCCAGGCTTCTGGGCACAGGCTGGGCATAAACCCTGGAAACTGAGACAGAAGGCAGAGTGCCCGTGGTGGGCTGGTGTTGACAGCTGGCCATGGCAGATGGGGGGCTGAGTCCCTCTCACTGAGCACGTTATTATTCACTGAATCCTAACCCTAACCCCAACCCCATTGTCTGCCCCCCTCACCCTTACAGCAGGCAGAAGCTAAGACCCTGGTCACAAGTCAGGTGGCAGTGAGCATAGAGTGGGCGGTCCACGAGGGGGGACCCACCCCTCATTCCCTCATGCGAAGGCCAGGCTGGACACCCAAAGGCCAATGTCCTACTGTCCACATCCCTTTCATTTGCCACTGAGCGGACCTGGGACATGCCTCCTTGTCCCCCTGTCAGGCTTCTTCTTCTTCTTCTTTAATATTTTATTTATTTATTCATGAGAGACACATGCAGAGGGAGAAGCAGGTTCCCTGCGAGGAGCCTGATGTAGGACTTGATTCTCCACAGAGGACTTGAGCAGCGCTCAACCGCTGAGCCACCCAGGCATCCCCCCTGTGAGGCCTCTTATGCTGATAGCTGACCTCCAAAACCCGTCTCAGCCCCAATTTCCTGGTGCCAGTGACAAGCAGGAACCCTGCTGGGGCTCAGCCTGGGTGCGCCATCAGTGGGTGACAGCACTTTCCCTGGGGCTACCTGGGCCTCCCAGCCCTTGTCTCCACATAGCTGGGAGAGTACGCTATAAGCCACCAAGTGTGGCAGATATGCCTGATGACACAGATTGAGTCTGTACCAGCTTAGAAGCCACAGCGATTGTGCACCATGAGCGCTTTAGCCTGGGGATCATAATCTGTGATCCACCCCTTGAACGGCCCGGACGCATCCTTGACAGACTCTGCAGAAGTGGCCTTTAGACTTTAGGACCATGACCCCGGGACAGGCAGCACACATCACGATGTACTCACTGATGGGTGTTTGTATCGGAAACAAAAATTTCCTGGAACCGTACTTGCCCTTATCGAGACAGATGTGCTCTAATAAGTCCTATCCTGTTCTGTCCATTCTGCTCTATTTGATTTAAAAAGCAATGTTGGGGGCGCCTGGGTGGCTCAGTCAGTTAGGCGTCTGCCTTCGGCTCAGGTCATGATCCCGGGGTCCTGGGATCGAGTCCCGCATTGGGCTCCCTGCTCAGTGGGGCGTCTGCTTCTCCCTCTGCCTCTGCCCCTCCCCCTATTCTAATCTATCTCAGATGAATAAAATCTTTTAAAAAAATAAAATAAAAAGCAATTTTGATCACAAACCATTGCACTGATTTTGCCACCTGCCAAGAGATGACAGCCGTAGTGTGACACTGCTCTGGATGCTGCCGGCCTTTGCCACTGGCTGTCCTCGTTCCAGAGTCACACTGAGTGACTGCGAGTGAGCCCGGCCGGGCTGGGATCTCAGCCTCCATACGCTGGCCTCGCCCTCAAGCCAATTATCGCTCAACATGGCCTGCAAGTTCCAAATGTGCTCGAGGCCACAGACTGGCTGCCGGTTCTCCGTTCCCAGGAGTGTGCTTACTCTGACTCAGAGGCCCAGGCTGAGCTGGAGCTGGACCTCAGGGCCGCTGAATGGATGGATGTCACCAAGCAGAAGGCCTTCAATTACAGAGCAAGGATCAGCCAGACAGGAAGACATGAAGAGGGAGCGAGTGAAGGATGGATGTATCCACTTCCCGGCCATCTGTCCCAACAGAACACGAATCCCCACTCGGGGAAAAAAAGAAAAGGGCAGAAAAAGAAAGGTAGGGAAACAAAGTAATTACTTCTGAGGCTAAAAGCTTCATTGGTCCGGCTCCTCGGGTGTCTCCCTTGGGTTCCAGCTGTAAAGTGACCGACGCAGAATGCTCGCCGCTGCCTGGCCTCTTGGGCAGCTGGCATAGAGGAAGACAGACTGAGCATGTTTTCTTGATGCGGAGTCTCAAAAGCCAGTGCCTGCCGCCCGGCATGTCTTCCAAGTACTGCTTAAGGGCTCTGCCAAGGGAGGGCTGGGCCCACATGGTTCTGCAGATGGTGCTGGGCGGTTCCCAAGGAAGGAGCGGCTGCATTTGGGGCGGTGGCAAGCTGAGGGGGGCGGGCAGCAGAGTGGCCAATCGCCCAGTGTTTGTCAGCTGGGCTCCAGGGGCCTGTGCCGTGCTCCACAGGTCCCATCTCTGCTGGGACCCCTTCCTTGGATGGGCCCTGTCTGACTGACTCCTTGTCTGCCATGGTACTAAGAGCCTGAGTCATTGTCCTAGGCACCTGAGCCTGGCTCTGCGGTCTCCCCAGCACCGGCTGATGCCCTCAGGCAGGGAGCAAGGGCTCTGTGCTCTCATGTGGCAGATGAGCAGGCTAAGGTGGCAAGGTGGGGCGACCTCTGCAGGGTCAAGGCTGAGGGCGTGTGCACTGCTCCTCCAGGCCCCTGAGCCTGCCTGGCCCTCCACACGGCTGAGCTGGGCTAGCCCCAGGAAGTGCCCCAGGCTGGCACCCAGGGGACCAAGTTCCACTGACAGGCTGCATGTCCATCTAAGTCTTGGCTTCTCTCTTCTGAGAAATGAAAAGCTTGCTGCTCCAGGCCCTGTGTGCTATACCTGGGCTCACGGGGTGACTCGGGCCCTCAGGAGGCTCACAGCCCCAGGGGAGGTGGACGCTGAGGCCAGCATCATGGGCCATGGCAGCTCCAAACCTAGCACGCTCCTTCCACCCCTCTGCCTGTCTCCTCATCTGTAATATGAAGGTCATAGCAGCCCCTACCCACAAAGATTTGGTAATGGTACAGGTGCTGGTTACTAACCATTAGTTAGTTACTAATGGTTACTAACACCTTAGTCTGTGAAGGTGACCTCAGAGGAGGTGGAGTCATCTGCTGGGCTGGGTTCTGGGAGGGCTTCCTGGAGAGGAGATGCTCAACCAATCTGCATAATGAGCAGGGTCCTGGCAGGTGGTCAGAGAGGCTGAGGGATGGGGGCTGTGTGGGTCCAAATCTTTGGATATGGGGAGGGGGTGTCTCTGACACTTTA